ACAGAGAGGCAGACAGAATCTCACTTTGTAGTCTTGGCTGGCTTGGAACTCCCAGATGCTGGGACTAAAGGTGTGTGCCACCACACCTGGCCCTTCATTTTATTTTCAATATAGAGACAACAGGAAAAAATGAATTATTAATTCAAAACCAAATTCAAGCTGGGCTTGGTGGCTCATGCTTATAATCTCAACCCTTGAGAGGCTAAGCCTACACAGACAGACACTGTCCAAAACAAAAACAAACCTTTGATCTCGAATTAACAACTAAAACTAAAACCTAGTATGGACTACCTTGTAAGGGAAGGTAGACTTAACCTAAGTCTATAATAGGACACAAATAAAGCTAGACAGAAAAACCATGAATGATGGACAAAAACAGGGTGATTCTATCCAACCAAGAAAACAGATGTGGCTGATGCAACAATTCACTTAGGAATGAAAGCTATGGTTATATATTTTCAATTCTAAGATGAGGAATTTTATCTTGACACTATAGGGAAAAGATCAGTTTTGGATACTGTAGCAACATAAGGCTAGATAATAAATATGCTGCTGGATTGATACATTTTTGTTTGTTTTGTTGAGACAGGGTCTCACCATATAGCCTTGGCTGGCCTAACTTGTGGCAATCCTTCTGCCTCTGCCTTCCAGGTGCTGGGATTACTGGCATTCACCTTCACACCGGCGCATTCTAAAGCTCTATTTAAACATCAAATTTCATATGGAATAACAAGTAAGTTTAAAGTTCAGACCAAATGCTGTGAAGAGGGTTACATTTGAGGTAGTTCTTGTCAACATACCGTGTGTGGATACTCAGAACAATGAGTTTACTGAAATGTACTAAGCATGAGAGGAAGCCAGGAAGAATGATCAGATAGCCTTTGTGGAAAGTTCTAAGAATTCTGCAGGTAACAAGACACTATAGGACCTCAACAATGAAACACACAGTTGTGCTTGAGCCCTTGTCTGACAGAAACATCACAGGAGATAAGAAACTGTTCCTGAATTAATTTCAGGATGGAGGCAAGTGCAGGGGATGGAAATGGCAGACAGACAGGGTCACTCTCAACATCTTGTGTCAGCTGCTGAGACAGCCAAGTGCGCACACACCCAGTCCTATCTGGCAGGCTCTCTCTCCTAACAGTACATAAATGAATAGGCAAGGACCATAGGCAGACACCTAAAAAGAATATGCAGCCTCAACTGTTAACACTGACGACAAGCTCTCAGGCTTTTGGATTTACTATTTTAACTGTTCAACAAACAATCATCTTGAGAATAAATTATAAATGTCTATTATATTCAAACAGCTGTGCTAGGTACTGGGAATATAGACTCTGCCAAGGAAGAGATGGGCTGTATCAGTCTGGAAAATAAATATACCCCCCCCCAAAAAAAAACTAGGTACAGTTGTGCACACCTGTAATCCCATCACTTGGGAGGGCTAAGGCCTGAGGATTGCCATGAGTTTGAAGCCAGCCTGGGAGACTATGTAAGACCCTGTTGTCTTCTGTCTCATAAACCCAAAAAGAACATAAATATGGGCTCTGACAGGAAAGAAAGCACAGAGCACACACAGAGTCTTCTCAGGGGAGAAAACACTTGAGTACAATGTTACAGGATGGGCACACATTCCCAGGCAGAAGACAGTATTACAGGATATGCTGTGAAAGGTAAAGAATGAATAAAACCACAATAGGGCATTGTCAAGGAGAAGATATGGTACAGCCAAGTGTTCAATATGATGGGGAGGGATTCGAGAGATAAACACAAGCAGAAATACAAAGGGCCTTGGTATGGAGTTAAATGCTTGTGTTATTTTTAAAGATCATGTTTCAGAACTATAACAAAGGAAATTATTAAAGAATTTAACTTATAAAACACTTATCCAAAGGTCATTTACTCAGCACCTCAGCAATATGAAACAGGGCTTGAGAATAAGGAAATGTTTATTTTAATAGCTAAGTTATGACCTAAAATCATATCATCAGGACTTTGTAAAAGCTATGATGTCTTCAAAGTTTACCTAATCTGTTTCCCTTTATTCCTACTGGTCACTTTCTTTCTTGCATTAGAGTAATATAAGTATAGATCTTATCTCTTGCTACTAGGCGCTAAGGCCCTGGGACTGTTGATTCATATTCATTTTGCATTACTGGTAACTCTAAGTCAAGCTTGACACTTAGTTAACATGTAAATATTTGATCAGTGAATAAAGAAAAAGCCTGGCTATTTAACTTCTCATGATTCATTAAAGTTACATCGGCAGCCAGAAAGATAATGGAGTGGAGAGCAACAGAATCATTTATGATGCACAAGAAACTGGCTATCTGACAGAAATAGCAACCTTACTTAACCTAGCCTAGTATCTTTAAGGTACTCGGCTAGATCCTGCAGGAAATTCAAATGTGAGTAAGACATGGTTCATACTGTCAATAATTTATCAATTAATAATATGCATGACAGATAAATGGTGCCCTACATTACAATCTGAATTACAGAAAAAGATTAAAGGACATTCAAAATGACAGTTTTTAATTAAGCAGGGTATGATGGCTAAGGCAGGAAATCTGCCACAAAGCTGAGGCCAATCTGAGCTACATGTATAAATTCTAGGCCAGGAAAGGCTACAGTGTTTTTTTCTTAAAAAAAGAAAAACAGGAATCCTGCCCAAAAGAAGAATAAAACAAAAAATACCTCATACAGCAAACAACATGCTTGCTGGTTTAGTTAAACTTAGACCATAGTTATTCCAAGTCAGAAACACAAAGATATTCATTAAAACTGATTCCTTGTTAATATTCAATACAGTACTAAAGATCCTAGCCAGTAAACAAGTTAACAGAGGAACAATAGGGATTGGCAAAAAGAAAACTGTAGGATATCTAACAAAATCAAATTATTCAAACTGGTAAGAGTTTGGCAAGACTACTAAAGATCAATTATCAAACATCACTTGTCCTTGGGCATGGTGGCCTGGGCCTGTAATCCTAGCAGCTGGGAGGTAGAAGGAGGAGATCAAGAGTTCACAGTCACTGTTCCCACATAACATTTTTGAGGACAGCCTGGGTTACATGAGAACCTGCCTCAAAACGCCAAAAAGAAAAAAGAAATCAACTGCTAAAGATTTGTTCATGAATATTCATAGTATCATTATTCAAAGTTTTCCCAAATCCAAAACAACATAAATATTCATTAATTTATGGATATTTCATATTATGAAAAAAAATCCACACAGCAGTGGTCTTCTGTGTGTGTATGCAACATTTTATAACATAAGAGGAAAAAGAAGTGACTCTCCTTCGGAAAGCCAATACCATGTTCTTGGGAGTTTGTCTTTCTCTTAACCCTAGTGTTTAAAAACTGTATTAAAATCTCTTAATTTTAATTAAAAAAAAAAAGGAAACTCACTAATAAGCAAGAGCTTCTTCACTGGGATATATAACTTTATTTGTCCTAATTTTAAAGAAGTCACTTATACATTTCTTCCCCTGTTCTACAATAAAACTGGTACACTTTACAGACACTTATAGGGAACACAACTCCCACAGGTCCCACACAATTATGGTCTCATTAATCTTCCTGAAACCTCAAGATTTTAGCCCAGTTTATAAATGAAGACACTAAAGCACACACTGACCTATAACCACCCTCAACAGCTGAGAAAGAGAGGGCGTTCAGAGCCAGGCTTGGTGGCACAACTCTTTAATCTCAGGTACTCAGGAGGCTGAGAAGAGGATTCAAGTTAGAGGCCAGCCTGGGAAACATGGAGCGTTCAAGGCCATCCTGGATAACTTAGTCCTGGATAACTTAGTAAGGCCCTGTATTGAAATAAAAAGGTTTAAAAAAATTTTTTTTTAGTTGAATTTGTGGATTTCATACAATATATGAATCTAGCCCCCTACCTCCTCCACTCAGTGGGGGAGTGCTTTGCTGACATGCACAAAGACCTTAGGTTCGATCCCTAAGACAGACAGACAGACAGGCATGGCTCTCTAAAATGTTCCCACTCAGGTATCTACTATTTTCTGGTTGAAATAAATCTTACCAGACAATAAAGTAAGATTACTTAAACAATTGTATCTTGAGCAAAATGAAGAACAAATTATGTTGTTATTTCAATTAGTTAAGAATTAGGTCACCTCAATCATTTCCCTAAGAGGCTTCAATAAATGGGCTTCAATTATAAACATAGCTCAAATAAGATGTAAGTTTTTTTTTTAATGTATTTTATTTCAAAGTAACAAATACTTCACATCCTTTGCCACTTCTATTTGAACCTTC